ACTCAGCCTCTGGTTCATAAGAATCGTATTTGATTCTGCAATGCCGAAGCTTCAAATTACAAATTTAAAGCTATTAGGACTAGACAGAAAGCTTTATCTCATAGAGAGCTAAGAGCCCAGGCTTTCAACTGATGTAACTATCCTGTATGCCTCATGCATATACAGAAACTGTTGTATTTAACAGCCATGATGTTACATATCTTGCCTTCAACTCATGACATCCTGAAATACAGAGTATAAGACATATATGAAAATACAGAGTTCATTTTGATTACTTTCACAGGTTTTAATGTTTCAACGACAGCCTCTAGGTGGGACCTGCAGCAGCTTGGCTTTGTAGGCTGAAGAAGATGGGGAAGAAAGGACCTTTAAAAGAAGCTTTCAGAAGTGTTTCAAGCATGTTTTCCCTATAGTCTGGCATAAGTCAGCTTCATCTGTGTGAATGCAAGGAGAAAGGTTTTATAGGTACTCACATCACTCCCCCTTGGAGAGAAAGGGGGAGTGATGATGTTGCCATTTGTGAACAACTATGTCACTTCCCCACAATCGTGTGAGGGGACTGTTTTTCTCAGCTGTGTACATTTGTCTGTATGTATATATGCTTTATTTATCCTTTTATTTTTAGCTAAAAAAAAAAAAAAGGTGCAACAACAACAACATTTGTAAATGGCAATGTTTGTAAAAGAGTCTACATCCTTCAGCTGTCACAAAATCTGAATTCCATGCCACAGGTAATAGTCACTATTTTAAAGACAAATCATATTACCAAGATAAATGAAAATAAAAGGAAAAAATAAAACAAAACCCAACACTTCAAGATGGACTGAGTCTATCCTGTGAGCAAGCTTGGGACTTGATGTGCAGTACTCCTAGCATTACTCCCAGCTTTCTGCCTCTATAATTGCCATGTTCAGAGATGAAAGAAAAAAAATATCAGTGTGTACCTTTCATCCTTTTTTTTGTACATTATCTGTAGCTCTCACTTAGCTGGCTTGATGTCAGAGGATCACGCCATTGCTCTTTACCAGCTGCTATTTTATGTAGCTGCAAGTTTCGCAAGTTACACTGTATGGCAGTGGGAGTCTTCTAAGACTGGATTGAAGCCAGCAGATGTTCAGTGGCAGCCCTACACACGGCCCTTAGGCAAGATGAGGGGGTATCAAATAGATAAAAGGAGCATATTCTTCATCGGTAGAACGAGCAGCACAGTAAATACCCAAAGAAATGGCAGGTGGATGGATTTTCCCTTTCCACACCACTGGCTTTACCCTGCTGTAACTCTCCTGACTCTTAACTCAATAGTCCCTCAGTTATACCAGCGCAGGTGAGATGAGACCAGGCCCAGTAAAGAGCTAAGAAAGGGGAGCCTGGCTATCGGTTTGCTTCCTGGCCTTTCTGTGAAATAATACTCGGCTTGCTTAGATCTGAATGAATTGACAAATCTGAAGTAAATAGAAGCCATGCCTGGTAGGAGAAAAGACACACATCATTAAGACAAACACACAAGGAATTAGGGCTCTCCTGTACCCTGTAGGATACAAAGTGAACCAGCGCCGGAGCTAGCAGGCGTGTGATCTGTGGCTTTCTGCCCGCTGCGGGAGCTCACGTAGACCAGTGAGATGTCTGCATCCAGATCACAGCCAAACTCTCCAGTTTAAGGTTTCGCTTGAATTTGTGGCTACAAAGCAAGTTCTGTCCCTTGTATAAATAACATTCACGTATGCCAAGACGAGCAGTTCTCAGAATGAGACCCAAAGTGCCCCAGCTGCCCATGCCCCAGCACAGCGGTGGGATGAGAAGCAGCGGCTGGTGTCCAGACAATGAACAACTGTGATCTCCTGATACACACACAAACAAAGAATTAACCTTCAAACCTAATTATGTTAATGTTGCTGTTTCCTACTAAAGCTGTCCCAGGGAAATAAGATTTATTTCTGAATATGCAAACAATTAAGCAGTCCATTCATATTGCTTTTGTATATTTTGGGTAACTTCATGCCTTTTAAAAATCAGGGTAAAAACAACATTACACTGGCAATTGCTTAAAGAATGAGACTTCCTGGATTACTTGCAGAAATGTATGGGGCTTTTGTAAAGTGCTGGCTATTGTAGACTAAGATCAATTTCATAATAAGGTCCTGATGCTTTTAATTACCTGTGTTGCAGAAATTTGAAGTATAATAATAAAAATTCTGAAGTAAAAAGCTATTTTCAATGAGAAAACATTTCACAGATGTCAAATCTCTACAGATTTCCGTTCCCTTTTATGCATTAAGCCACCACAATTGCAAAAAAATACAGTGGCAAATTCTGAAATGCACTGACAGAAAGTAAAAAAAAGAAAAGATGAGTATGGATTTTTATGATATTTATACTAGTGTATGATGGGAGTGTTAATGGCCACTCTCATTAAGTCCTCAGAAATAAAATATTTGTAAGGACTGTGATTCTGCTCAGTTAGTATTTTCAGCATGCCAATTAATCCTTGCCATAATCCATTTGGTTTCAGGACTCAATTTTGGTCCATCGTGATAAACAGGGCAAACAGATGCTCTTACTTTTTAAAATAATGGATAGATGGGCATGGTTTTTTTGCTATGCTTTCTAATCCACAGAAGTAACAAATCTAGAGACAATGAATAATTGAGGTAATGATGCTGAGGAATATTATATGTAATAGATATTTTACAATAGCTCTGAAATATGTCCAGTTGATTCATAGAAACGTCACCACTTCTGCATAAGCCCCAGACTATGTGAGAGGGCATCTCTTGAAAATAAAGCATTCTGTGCATGCACCATTTGCTAGGATTTCACTTTCTTTCTATCAAGTGTATGTTTACTTTTACTGTACCACTTGCCATTTACCATCTACCGCAGGTCCCCAGAGAGCCCAACGCGCCCATTTTGGGCTGCTTGTTTTCAGCAGAGGAAGGACAATGAGTCCAAATTAGCCCAGTGGCCACCTTGCAGCAAGCACAGAAATTTTCAGAAATGCTTAAGCTTAAAGAAGACAACACTTAATTTCATGAGCACAACTAGGGAGCATCTTCCTTGAATACGGGGGCATGGCCTGGGAGACAGGAAAAGCACAGCGTCACAGATGACAGCAGTACCGGTCTGCCTGGGGAGGCAGGAGAGTGAAAGATGGGAGTTGGCTGTGAAAGTCTCTCTCCTGTGTGTATGTGACCTGGCAGCTTGTACTCAAAACCTGCCTGCATGCAGTCCTGTGCAACTTGCTCTAGATGAACCTGCTTTGGCAGGAGGGTTGGACTAGAAGATCTCCAGAAGTCACTTCCAACTCCTACCTTTCTGTGATTCTGGGATCTGAGGCTCTGTGGGACCAAGCCCATAAAGAAAGATGCACTACGTATGCCAAGGGCACTAGGTCTTCATCCAGCACAGAACTGCAGGGGCAATTCCCAAGGCTCTGGGGAGCTGAACTGAATCCATGGGGCTCTGCAGAGAAGCGATGGTCTCAATAGAACCAATATGTAATAAGCACTAATGAAATCTTTACAAAGAGAAACAAAGGTAGAGAAATTGCATTGTTTGGGGGTTTGTTTTTTTTTTTTCAGAGTTTCTTTTTGCCTTGAGAGAGAAGATAGGAAAGAGATCAGACCTATGTTTTTAATACTTACTTGGAATTTGAGTTTCATAATAGGAAAATGCTGGGGAATAGACTAGAAAGTGACTTTCATACAGGACCTTTTTTTCCCTCCAAATAATTATAGAGTATGTAAGAAGCATATTCTACAAAATCCAGTGACAAGGCTAATAGAAGGAATAAGATTTCTTATTACAAGTTGTAGAGTATTAAAAGAAAATAAAACATATATATATGTTATTTCTATATTAAAAACCAAAACAAAACCAAAAAACCCACAACTTTTTTTCAGGTAACCACTAGAAAACCTATTAGTATTTTTGTAGGGTTATTTTTCCATTTGGACTTACTGCTTGGGATACTGTAAGATAGCATTGATACGATGGTGCTGGTAAAAGCAGAGTTGCATTTAAGTACAACAGTAAATTGATGCAAATTGAGTATATGTTAAATGATGCTCTTATTTTCTCATAAAAAACAGAAGGGTAGCACAAGTGTATGTGAGAGGAATTTTTGTGAGTGGACTTATTTCAATACAAAAGAAGAAGAAACCTAATTCAACAAAACAATTCTTTATGCTCATAGGTAATTAAAATGCAGATTTCCCAAATTTCTTTAAGAAACACAAAGGATGTTCCTTCCCATAAACTTTTTTGTAGATAAAGATGCAAACAAGTAGAACATTTGGATGTGCATTGAGGCGTAGACCCTCATCCTTTTGATGTCAATGTGAATTTTGCCATGACTTCAATATTGGAGTGTTGATAAGGAAAATGCCATGGCCAACATGCCTGAAGTGTTATATCCACTCACTCGTGACTCCCACTTATTTCCAAACTAGCCGAGCTGAACAGAGCTTGTGGTCCTCAGGTACATCTGTGACTATAGACAGACTGGACCAGAGACCAAAAGCTGACAAAACATGTTTTGCAGTGGTATATGTCAAAAAGAGGTGAAGCTAAATTTCATCAGTCATAGTTTCAAGAAAAAAAGACAGAATAAATCACTCATTTTTGGACTGATAAGCACAGGAGCCCTCAGTTTAAAGAGTAATTTTCCAGCAACTTATTAGTACCAGAAAAAAGGGATTAAGATAAAAGTGCCTCCTCATCCATAACTCTAACCAGTAAAAAGCTAAAAATACATGAAAAAGAAAATAAGTTATGGGGGTTGGATCAGATGAAAAATATATTTACTTCATGGTAATGTCTCCTCTCTCATACATTGCAGGACCTACAGGCTGGGAAAGTTACTGTGTCCTCCAGCATACGCGATGGTACAGAAGAACATATAAGCAAACCTCACTCACTGCCAGAAATATTTTTTTGTGTCATCTGGGAAAGTTGAATTTCTCTTTGAGTGGCCTTACCCTGGTAACAAGAAAAGACAGTTAACACTTATTCATATGTTGTACTGATCAGGAAATATCTCTACAAACACAAGTTACTTAGAAACAGCAAGTCTGAAATAGAAGAAAACACCAAGAGAAAAACAAGCTGTAAATACATTTCAAAAGTGTGTTTGTTTTTTTCTTTTTTCTTTTCTTGACTAGCACCATCTGTACACAATAAAGTATGAACATAAATGTTTGGATAATAAAGATTTGCAAGGCACTTAAACAGTTTTTCTGGATAGGTTTTCTTTTAATGAACCTCTCAATGGAAGTCCTACAACCACCTTTCCTTCTCCCTCAGCTAATGCAGGGAAAGAAGTGTCTTCTGCCAGCAGTCCTTATTTACAGACATGTCCTTAACGGTTCCTCAAAGTGCTCTTTTAGGCTAACAACCTTATATCTCCTTTTTTCATGCTCATCCTGGGTTTTTTTTGTTTTTTTTTTTAATACTACTCTTCTGTATAGTAAAGCAAATCTCTCATACACACAGTTGAGACTTGACTCCAACCTTCGTCCTCATTCTGTTGTCTTTGGGATGGTATTCAGAAGGGAAAAGGAGGATGGCAGAAATGGGCATAGATATTCTCTTGAGGTTCGTTCTTTATCGGCGTCTAGAGGTGATGTCAAAACATGTAATCATCATGAGATGGGCCTTGCAGAAGTTGACACGGTTTTCCAAACGCTCAGTCACACATTCCAGGGCTTCCAGGTATTCCAGAGAATCTAAGTCAAACACCTGCTCCAGATCAACTGTGGGAAAGAAAACACACAAATAGGAAAAGCAGACAAAACCCAGTGCTGGTTGGCAGGAGAGGCAGAGGTAATTCAAGTCTCCAAACCCACCAGTACTGTATACATTTATCTCTGGCTCGTTGTCATTAAAAATTGCTTTTTCTGTTGAATGGCTATTAAATTGGCACAGCAGCTTGCGGACAGTGAGCAATACTGTTAAGATTGCACTGGATGCTTTCTTGAGTGATAAGCTCTACCATTCTCTCCAGAACTGCAGATGCCTTTTGCAAAACTCCAACATCTTTCCCCAAGAAAAGCCACCAGAACTATTCTTCCAGGAACCACTGCAAAGAAACTAGCTGTCATGAAACACCTGTAGGCTTCAGGTTAATCTTCACGCCCATAAGAAACACACAGGTTGAACATGATGGGAAAATTCAGCACTGAAGTATAAAACAGGCCAAGTTAAATTTGTTTACAATGATTTTGATTGTTTGCCTTCAGGGCCTGCTTCAGCACCATGCTTAAGCAAATGTTGAATGCTAAGCACATACTTAAAGTCATTCCTATTTAGGGCATGTATATGAGATGTACTGACTCTCTCACACATTCTGCTGACCAGAAAGAGATGTAAATAGGTGCCATGCCCTTTGCTGAATTCAGAACTCAGAGTCAGAAACCAACCTCCAACCTCCTTGCTCCTCACACCTCTCCCTATTCCATGTGGTTCTCACTAGACCACTCAAGAGTGGCAAGGGAGGGCACACACATCAATCACTCCACTATAGGTGCCCCTATGCTGCCAGAGACCAGCTGGCAGCGGCTTCTGTGGAAGCCAAGTGTGAGCTACACTGCCTGAGCCACCACTTCCCATCTTATCTAGTCCCAGGGGACTGTGCTGTCCTTGAGGATTCCTGCATTTATCACACTGGAATCAGAAGCAAGAATATCAAATGGTAAGTGGCCGGCAATGTACAGCAAATTCTCTGCTCCCTTTAAATCTGCCCCTTTAATCTCTCTTCCTTAATAGTGCTTCTGAAACATATACTGTAGTTGTTTTGCAGGATGTACCAACCTAGCGGTAACTTATGGCAGCTATCAAAGGAAGAGTTAGGATGCTTTAAGAGAATACACCAGCTGAGCTCCTTTTGCCAGCTGCAATTATCCTAAATAAATTGAAACTTGTTTTTTTTTCCTAGAACTCTTTGATACGAACTTGTCTGCTTCCTGATATTAAGAATTGTTGTACAATTACTGCAGTACTCTTTATCTTTTTTCCTTTGAGGTGTTGAGGTCCTTCTTCATTTGAATGTGAATGTCCTTTAAGCTCTCTGAACTTTACACATGTATAGTTATAAAAAATGGGCCAAATTCATTTTTCATGTAAGCCTAATGGTGCCAAGGGACACGTTTGCTCCACGGAGTTATTTTGTGGTAGAAGAGCAGATTTATAATATTGTTCATTGTCGGAGTGATCTGAGGCCAAAAAAAAAAAAAATCTCATTTTCAGGAGCTGTGGACTGAAACGCGTGAACGTTAATCTACCAATGGCAATATTCACCACTACAATGCTGTGCCATTTCAACATTCAGCTCTCAGGCAAAAAGGATTGTTCAGTTCTACTGTCAACATTTAGTAAGAATTATAGGGACTAGTTCTAGAAATATAGTCAATCTAAAATTTGCCCTTAGGTCATATGTCAGTTTATTTTAGTTTACAAACACAGTAGCTCACATCTCATTCTTAGCAAACATTTCTGCTCCCCTCTGTTCCCCCAGTGAAATAAACCAAAGGACACCTATGAGTACAGACAATAAAAGTACACCCTTACATTCACTGAGCCATTTATTAGGATCCAGCATCAGGTACTGTTTGGTCACCTCCAGTTCTCTCATTAACCACTCGTACTTGGCCTTGACCTCAGCAATTCTCTGCTGGCGATGCTCCAGGATTTTCAGCTTGGCATTGAAACATATCACCTCCTGCCAACCAGGAAAAATAAGCATGGAAGGAACAAGTGAAGAGGAGAAGAAATACCCAGATCCATTCAGTCAAATGATTTTCACATCAGTAATACTGACAATGAGGCATTTACTCTGGAAGTGTATGAATGACTTAATGAAATCATCTATCATCTGTTTTATTTTTATTGCTTTTGTTTGATTTTCATGTTTTCCATCAGTGAGCTTTGGTGACTTTGCAATGATTGTTAATAATAAACCATAATAATTAATAACAGGCAACATCTTGAAATCAGATTAACTGTAGCAAAACATTTCTGGTTTTTGTCACCAGAAGTTTGGCTGAGAAAAAACAAAGCTCTTGGGAGAAGGAAACCCATTGGTTGCTGTATTAAAATCCTAAATACATCTCTGTGCTTGGCACGAAAGAAATGCAGTAGTCATACTATAAAATAAGAGAACCAGTAGCAATATCAAATTTAAACCATCCTTAAACAAAAGGAATATGCTATGAAAAGCTGTAGCAATTTACAATCATCATGTATTTTCTGTAAAGACATGGGGCACAGTAACAGCACAAGGTGTATGTGTGGAGACAGTCAGCCTGGCCTTGCATGATTTCTGAGGGGTGGCAGCCATCAAGATGTGCAGTAAGTGAGCCTAGGCTGAGGTCTGTGCTACCCTCGCTAGAGTGGGAACATTCCCAACACCATAACTAGCCTTCTCCAAGCATATGTGAAGGCCTCTACACTACCTTACCTTCTGCTTTGTAGACAAATCTGCTGTGTGGGTGAAGTGCAGTGGAAACCCCATCTCAACAAGTAACATGTTTCTCCATACAAAATCATATCAGAGAACATCACAAACAGCCTAACCAAGTGAGATGCACTATGAAGAAAAAGTTCCCTAAAATATAAACAAAGTCTAAATCCACAATTACTGTAAAACTGGTGCTATTCTACCACTTCAGATAACTTTCCCAATCATATCACTCAAGAGATGACCTTTACAATTCCCTGATCTTTTTGTAAATTTGGAGGCCTGAGGTTGGCAGGAACAATTTTGTTAGAGAGAAGACATTAGTTATCCTGAAAACAATATCATCAAAGCACTTGAGACACCTTTGCTGCCTTGAAAGACAGATGTGACAAGATGCTGGAGCACAGAAACCACTATAAGGAAGGGGCAAAAATACAAGCGACCGACGTCTGTTAGCTGTGACAGAGGAAGGCGTAACTTGAGTCATAACTGCTCCTAAATGAGATAACAGGTTTTGCTGCCTGTTGAATTAACTGTATGTGATACTACACACTTTCAACTACATGATCTGAATTCCTTCTCTTACACCCTCCAGGAGGAGGAAGACAGATTAAACGGATTGCACTCACCTTGCTGTCCCCTCCTCGTCGCCGCTGGAGCCTCTCCACATCATCTATCTCATAGACTTTGATCTCAAAGGGCTCCCCCAGCCCCCTCTGCCCACTTCGCAGGGGCCCATCCACCCAGCGGACCCCAGGGCTGTTGGCAGGCTTCCTTGCTGGGGAAGCAGTATCAAGCGATAAAGCTGGAATAAGTCTCCGTCTCTGGGAACCTGCAAATGCAGAAATTGCCATTTCATGTTAGCACAGCTAGTGCCTCTCCTTTCTGCTCCATCTGCAGAGATGTTTACAAACTATATATATTAAATCTTGTTACACACAGAAGAAAATTGAGTGAAAACTCAGGGAGCCCAGGGAAGTTCGGGTTAGCTGTAGCTGCTATGTGCTGTACCCACTCACCACAAGTCAGATCCTCCCATGTTCTTTGGTGCCTGACTCCAGAATTTGATTCTCAAAAGGTATATGTACCCTTAAGTTTCCACAGCTTGTGCCTGCTTCCTTTTGCTCAGATCTCGGTGTGTGCCAATGAAGGACGAGAACTGCAAGTTGGACCTGGTCTAGCTTTGCTGGTACTGGCTCTTACAGCCTAAGGACAAGAATTAGCCAGCCTCTGCATACACCATCTCTAAGGGAGCTGTCGTTTCACTTTTTTTTTTTTTTTTTAATCAAAGCACAAAAAACAATTTGATACGCAAGTTCCCCTACTATGCTGGAGTTGAGTTCCAATATACCACCACCTAGTCCTTTGCATAACACCACTGTATGCTGGATAGAGCAGTAAAAAACCTGGAGAGGACAAAACACCTGCAGTAAGTACACCTGAGCTTGGAGTTGTCACCAGAGTCACATTAGCCTTTTCTCTTTATAGCCTTGTTTCTATAATATTCTAAAGAATATTCTTTAAAACATTTCCCACTTATGTGCTTACTGTAGCATCAGTGATGGGCAAGACAGCAGCAAGAATGATGAGCTGGCAGAAGAGTTAGTCACTGTGTCTGTTTCTATACCAGTCCTCATGCACACCTGCTCTGCTTTATAATACCAGCACAGAGGATGGGAGTACTGCAATAGCTGAAAATTTACCATGGTTGATAAGGTCTATGCCATATGGAAAGCAGCTGCCATGTGAGTTGCCAAGTCAAGGCCTCAGGTAAAGCAAGGGAAAAGAAGAACGTCACTGGTCTGATGGCAACAGTAAGGAAGCTGAGCATATGGTTTGTTGGGAGTAAGAACAGACACACACAAAAAAATCCTCAACTGGTTACATTTCCTTGCTCGGTTTAGTACAGTCAGAGCAATGACTGCATTTTTTTAAAAAAAAATTGTTTTGTAGCTGAC